AGATAGACGACAAGAAGTTAGCGCAACTGGATATGACTACTAGGCGTACCTTCTTCGGACTAGCCAGGTCTAGGGCTATCAACGAAGCACTCATCTCGAAGTTCAAGAACTGCACCGACAAAGATGACTTGATGATATATTCTGCGCTACTGACTCAGAAAAAGGACCACCAATTTATGTCGGAGCATCTAGCGTCCCAGCGCTACTCCAACAAATCCAAGTTTGCAGGAGTCCAGAGAGCCAGAGAAAAGAAGTATTCCAGCTCTAGGGAAGGAAGAGGTTCTTTTCGTCGCCCAACCGGAGCCCCCAGAAGTAACCCCGGAAGAGGCTGAGCACCCAGGGGTGCCAGAGGAACCAAGCGCTGAAGGACAGGTTTGGAACGACTGGAGTCTTCCACCCCCAGCCGTTCCTGTACAACCTTCGACAGTGGGTGGACGTCTTCAACGGTACTGGGAGAATTGGGGAATACTACAGGACGACTACGTATCCCAGATACTACGCAGAGGGAACAAGATACAGTTAGAAGCCACCCCGGCGCTTACAAGCAACCCACTGGCCTTCAACTATGCAGCCGACCAGACAGAGAAACTGGACGGCGCAATCAAGACTTTACTCTACAAAGATGCAGTAGAAGAAATAAATCAAGATCTCATCATGCCCGGTTTTTAGTCCCCAATTTTCCTGGTACCGAAGAAGAATTCAAAGGAGAAGTTTCGGCTCATTTACAACATGAGGAAGTTCAACCAGGAGTATCTCCGCAGACCAGCAAATTTCAAGATGATACATCTTCCTCAGCTCTGACATCTCGTTCATCCATCAGACTACCTCGCCAGCATAGATCTACAAGATGCGTACCTACACATCCCGATACATCCAGACTCAAGGAAATACCTAAGATTCCTTTTCAACGGACATCACTTCCAGTGGAAGGTTCTACCATTTGGAATATCGTCAGTTGTTTACTCGAGTGACCAAGCCCATCGTCACATATCTACATCGTCGAGGTCTATGTAGTGCTTTTTGTCTGGACGACAGAACTCAAGTTCATCAAGATCCCAGTCAACTCAGACTGCAACTAGACTTCACCATCAGGCTTCTCACTCAGGATGGCTGGTAAATCTCCTCAAGTCGGAACTGGAGCCGAAACAGGATCTTCAATTTCTAGGAATACAACTCATCAGCATCGTCGACGACCTGAACATCTACATGAAGGCATGCCACATTCCAGGAGCGAAGAATGTCATAGCAGACGCCCTATCTTGTCCACTACAACCATCCCCGACGGAATGGATGTTACACCCAGAAGCGTTCCGGTTTTGTCATACAGACAATAGGATCTCCACTGACAGACCTGTTTGCAACAAAGTTCATCAAGCAACTACCAACATTCGTCTCACCGATTCCTGATCCTCAGGCATGGGCAACAGAAGCTTTAAGTATCTCATGGAAAGGACTAAACGCTTATGCGTTTCCACCTCCAGCACTATTACCACAAGTAATACAGAAAATCAAGCAGACGACAACTCTGCAACTGATTTTGGTCGCGCCCTATTGGCCAGCGAGGGTATGGTTTCCCGTCCTCATACAAGAACTCGGAAGTCCAACCCTGAAACTACCAGAGTGGTCAAACCTGCTCGTCCATCCACACACCAAGCAAGCTCACGGGAATCCGGCATTGTTCCAGCTACACGCGTGGAGCGTATCAAAGCTTGCCTGAAGACTAGAGGGTACTCCGCCAGAGCAGCGAAAGCAGTGACACTAGCTCTAAGCAGATCAACTCGCAACTTGTATGACGACAAGTGGCAGAGATTTGAACAGTATGCAACGAGGAAAGGCTTTACAGCGGTAAAAGCAACCCATCCTCAAGTGGCGGAATACCTGTGTCATCTGCGACAGACGAGACACTTAAAAGCTTCAACACTCTCAACGTACCTGGCTGCTCTCATCATAGTTATCACCATGAAGACGGGTGTCAAGCTGACCAAAGTACCAGAGATACTGGCACTACTACGCTCGTTCAAGTTGGAAGACCAACAAAAGAAATTCAAGGCTCCTGCCTGGGATCTCAACGTAGTTCTACAACATCTCACCAGTGACGCCTACGAGCCTCTAGAACGGACATCCTTTGAACTGTTGACACAGAAAACGCTGTTCCTGATCGCCCTAGCAACAGCAGCACCGATGTCAGAAATACATGCTCTGGACTTTGAACGAACACAATTTGAATCAAGACATCGTGACATCGTACATCTAGGACTGAGATGGGACTTTATTGCCAAGAACCAACTGCCCGGCCAGCCCGACAGACAGTTCCACATCCCAGCACTCTCTACAGTCCTTGGGCCACAGATACACAGGATCTATCCTTATGCCCTGTCAGAGCACTAAAAGTCTACCTACAAAGGACAAAAACAAGGAGACGAAAATTCAAGCGCCTATTCATCCCCTTATCCACTGAGACGCCCACAGAAGTCTCATGGACAACAATATCGACATGGATGAGAGCCGTTATACTAAGGGCCTACAAAGCAGCAGGACTTGAGCCTCCACGAGCCTCCAATCCCCATGAAGTCAGAGCCCTGGCGTCTACACTTGCTCTGCATGGAAACTGCTCGATTTCCCTGTAAATCTGGGTGTCGGGCATACATACGGAGAGAGTGACAAAACATGGCCGGTCAGGTGACCAAAAGGGCGCCAAGGAGGCAAGGGAGGTAACTCGTGGGTGAGTGGTGATTTTACATCCGCTTTTAGAAGGGAACTTCAAAGGATTTCAAGTGTTCCACTATCATTTGCAAGAAGGAGACAAGCATTTAGCATGAGTCAGGATAAGTATAAAATATCAATTTTAGTCAGAAAATTACATTGTCCATATATAGAGTACTAAATATTAGCACTGCTGCCTTAACTTATATTGATATATCCTTGCAGAAGTACTATATATACCTGCTGAACTGGTATGTCTGTCAATGCATTAAGTACTAAAGTAAGGCCAGAAATGCTTGGAAAATGCTTTTTGACTTCAATATCAATATGATGAATTTGACACAAGATAAAAGCACATATATGATACATGTACGGCACTACCTAGTTGGATATTAAAGCTCAGATGAAAAAATGCACTTGAGGGGTGACTTCACAGGAGGAAATTTTGACGTTTTAACAACATTCGTAAATATTTTAAGTACAAACTGTAGTTTTGAAATACAGACCATAATTATTCACATAGCCTCAACTAATGAAATTACATAAATGATTGTAAAAGTTTTGGATTTTTTTTTAACATCTATGTGTGAAAAAGATGGAACTCTTGTAGTAGTAATATTCAAAATAATTACGTAAAAAAGTCGCATAGATTATCGCATAGATAATCTTGTTCACCCATAGAAGTTTCACTTCATGTATGAGCATTGAACTGGCAACATGCGACTTGATATCTCTGCAGAACAATTAATTTCAAATTTATACCAGTATTTCATACCGGGGAAACCTCTCGTCAGCTATGACAGGGTTTACTATAAAATGTGTAAAGCCCTTAATTTGACATATAGTCAGGTTTACAAAGGTGTAAACAAATCAGTTACCTCAGGGGTCGTGTCAAAATCAAAACCAGGTAGGAAACACAAACTGGATAGCTTTGATAAGGGTGTCATACATAATCTGTATGAACGCACAATCCCATCGACGTGTGCTAAAATACAAGATGAGATCAAAGATACAATAAATGTCTCGAAAACAACACTTATTGTAGCTCTGGTAGAAATGGGGTTCAGGTACACCAAATGGGGAGATGACAGAGCTGTGTTTAGAGAAAAGTACTCAATCCTGTCCATGCGATCAGCTTATCTCAGAACAGTTGAAGAATACCGCAATTTGGGGTTTCAAATTATATACCTTGATGAAACCTGGTGTAATAAAAATCACTCAACTGATCGCATGTGGCTTCCTTCAGATTGTTCTAAGGCACCAGTGTTACCATCAGGCAAAGGTAGACGCCTGATCATCTTGCATGCTGGTACAAGGGACTGATTTGGGGTTGTGACTTTGTTTTTGAGGCCAAGAAATCTGATGGTGATTACCATAGGGAAATGAATGGGCAGGTATTTTTGGATTGGTTCGAACATCAGCTTTTACCGCAGCTGGACAAACCAGGTGTCCCTGGTACCATCACACCCACCATGAGCAATCTCAAGGCTCAGTTGCAGGATTTTCTCACTTCCTGTAACGTGCCTTACAGGCAATCAAAGAAAGACAGAAACAAAGCCCTAGCTCATGGAAAAAATCCAGCAGCACAAAAAGCCAATCCAGTACATCACTGACGAACTAGCTGCAAAACAAGGCCACATAGTTCTGCGTACACCAGTACGGCACTGTGAGCTCAATCCCATCGAGCTGATCTGGGGTAGCTGTAAGAATTTTATTACTCGCAATAATACCACATTCAAGCTTTCAGACGTTAAAGAGCTTGTGTATGCTTCTTTCGCGAGAATTACCCCAGAAGTGTGGCAAAAGGCTGAAGACCGTGTTCTCAAAATCGAGGACGAATACCATCTGCGGGATGGCATTAACGTCAGCCAAGTTGCACCTGTTGTAATTCCGCTAGAGTCCTCGACCAGCAGTGATACTGACACTTGATATTTTGAGACGGTCCCTGACATGCACTGCCCGTGCGTTACATAACACTGTCACCCTGTCTGCCTGCCAGGTGGGTCACAGTATAGTTTGTTTCTTTGAAGTGTTTCTACCATGGAATTTTTCTAAGTTTTTCGATATTTTACGAGTAATCATTATGATTAGGGAATGGTACATCGTGATTACTCATATGCCATATTAGGTCGAGGTGGTATGAATGATTATATATGAGTTTTGAATATGAAATATCAACCATTATCAAATAATTGCCAAAAAGCATTTTCCAAGCATTTCTGGCCTTACTTTAATATATACCTGCTGTACAGCCTCATTTCTTTTACTGATGTATGAATACGCTGATATATGTCCAGCGGCCAAGTCTGACAATGGAGCTGGATCCAGTTGCACCCGGTTCTGTGACTCGACGTCGTAAGCGCCGCCTCAAGTTTATCGACATAGAGACCCAGATATCCAAGAAACAGCTGAAGCGCAACATGGTGACCAGCAAAGACATCTGCCGCACAAACGTGAGGACAGTTGAGTCTTATTCATGTACAAGATATTAAATACTGACTCTGTGCAAACAAACTTGAGAAACTTTGAAATATCTCTGATTGTCTAAATTATCTAAAACATTTGAAAGTGCTACACACTGTCTTTTTCTTTTTCGAAAGTGAATAATCATTTCGATTTAAGCAATTTTTGTTACAAAAGGCATTTTCATTTAGTTATAGTTATAGCTACAGAAACATTTCTCATATTAATATTAAAGAAGTTGTATATCCATAGAACTCTCCTCGTTGTTCATTACACCAACTTCTAAATGCTACTCAAAGTAGATATATAGAACTTATTGTTTGGGGATATTGATACAGAGCTCCAGATAAGATTTAGCTCATGTGGGTACTGTACCCATTGTATTTTTTTGGAGTGGGTATTATGAATGTTGAGTGGGTATTTCATTTTCCGTTACCCACTGCTTTCAAATATGTGCGTATTTCAGTCATTTTACTCACTTAAGTATTATGTCATTGAGTATGTTTACTAAGCAGGTATGTTCTGCCTTATGTCATACCTAATCAAAACCAACTTAAATATAAGGGAAATGATTTCATAAAAAATCACCCATCCTATACTGACAGTACAACACTTGTCCTACTGTACGCATTTGTCATAAACTTTTTGCGTATCTAACATTTTAAATGTGTAATTGGTACGCAACAAACATTTTTCAATGCGTAATTGGAAATTTTCTATGCATATTTTACCCAGATACGCAGCTTATCTGGGTCTCTGTTGACGTTTTAGATTCTTCCATCTACAAGACCTTCCCTTCCCGAGGAACTGTTTTCCCGACCTTGCAAAAAGGGTAAGTGTAAGCTTGTGAAATCTTCCATGTCACCACTTAAGTAAATCTTGGACATGTAAACAGTGTTGTTATGCATATTGTCTCTCTTTACGTGTAACCTGTGAGGATCCTGATTAGAATTGGTCTTCAGCAACCCATGCTTGTCGCAAGAGGCATGACTGGGTAGACAGTCTCACTGACTTGGTTGACACATGTCATCGTATCCCAATTGCATAGATTGATGCTCATGATATTGATCACTGGATTGTCTGGCCTAGACTTGATTATTTACAGACCGTCGCCATATATCGCCATATAGCTGGAATATTGTAAGACAGATGTCAGGGTCACAATGCCTCTTTCTTTGTGTGGCCTCCAATTGTCAGAGTGACAGATCCATTTCTACTGTCATAGTCAGACATGCTTCTCTCCTATACTCTTCCCTAATTTACTGGTGCTGGTTTATTACAGCAGATTACTGTAAGTACAAGAGAGTTGGCCGTGTTCATGGACATATAATCTAAGTAAGACTTCTCGTACTGTCACAGGAGTGAGAGCAGGCGAGTAGATCACAGTCTGTATAAACAGATGCAATTGCTGAGGTGGAGTATGTTCATGGACATATAATCTGAGTAAGACTTCTCGTACTGTCACAGGAGTGGGAGCAGGCGAGTAGATCACAGTCTGTATAAACAGATGCAATTGCTGAGTTGGAGTATGTTCTTTGTTGTCAGGACCCATGAACATGCGGGGTAGAATTGATCTTCAGTAACCCATGCATGTCATAAGAGGCGACTAATGGGATCGGGTGGTCAGGCTGGCTGACTTGGTTGATACATGTCATCGTATCCATACTGCGTCGATTGATGCTCATGCTGTTGATCACTGGATTGTCTGATCCAGACTCGATTATTTACAAACTGCCACCATATAGCTGGAATATTGCTGAGTGTGGCATAAAAGTAAGCTCACTGAGTCACTCACTCTTTGTTGTTAGAGCTGTGTCACCCCAAGCTGCTGAGGCTATGGACCAGGAATGCCGTCATGGGGGGAGGAGATCGATGACACACCTTGGACAGTAGCAGGTGAGATGCACGAGGAGTTACATAATTTATGGAGGCAGTCAATATTTTATGTACGTCAGATGCTGTAATTGCGCACAGTGCCTTGTTGATGTAATAGTGATTTTATGCTAATGGATGCAGTAAGGTACAGCCCACCAATATCAGTATTATGAACAATTTCTATATTCTTTGACCTTTCAAGAGTTAATGAAAAGCCCAGATGAGTTTCCTGAGAGTCGACAGACACGACGAAGGTTGTCTCCCATTCTGGACATGGAGTCGCCAAAACAAGTGCTGGTAAGTTACCATGACAGTAGTTACCTGTTAGTAGTTACCATGACGACAGTTACTATGTGAGTGACAACAGTAACCATCATGATAACTGCTATGATGGTGGTTACCATGACGACAGTTATTCACAGCACAGTTTTCAACTGACCCTCGGTCAGTAAGTTTTCCCCTCACTTACAATGTGTCAGTGTCTTTCATCTCACTTTTTTTCTTGGCCTTGTAGCCAAGAATATGCAAGCCCTAGAAACTGCCTTAATATATGTCGTAAAGTTTGATTTATGTTTATTCACATTACACACTGTCCTGTGAACATACTGACTGCGGACTAACTACTCCTATACCAAGGTCCCACCAACAGAGAAAAGTCTTTCAGACAGTGACCTGGGCCTCAAACTGAGTCCTCTCAAAGCTGCTGAACAGTCATCGGACTCTGACAAGAGCACCCGTACACGGCGATCCAAGCGTCTGACACGTCAGCCATCGGCAGAGAAGGTGAGTGAGCGAGCACAAATTCAAGCCACTTTTAGCAATATGCCAGCAAAATCACGCGGGGACACCAGAAATGGGCTTCACACATTCTACCCATTTAGGAAATCGACAAGTTAAACCACAAGTTTACCCCATCGCTCCAGCAGAGAAGACACCGTTTTGTCAGGGTGCATATGTAGAAGAGAGCTGACATGAAATCAGTAGTCCAAACTGTATAGTGTTACCCCACTGGGATGTGCCACAGTCCAACAAGATAACATCCGTCTCATTGCGGTTGTGAATTGCTCCATTGGTAAAGGCCCCTAACATTGCTGTTGTGAACTGCCCTATGACATCATCGTTTGCATTGTTCTCATCAGCAGATGGAGGAGGGAGATTCTATGGAGGTGGCGCGTGGGGACTCGGTACTCTCGCTGGAGAGAAGTCGCCAGAGAGACGTGTCCATTGAGATTGACCACAGCACCCACAGCCTGGAGCGGAGCAGGGAGAAGAGTATGGAGGACAGTATCTTAAGTCGGCCAAGGTGTGTGACATTGTCACTACACATTCGCAGATGTGTGGGTTCTGGATGGAGATAATGTCACAATAATCCAAATTATCACCCTCATATTATTGAAGAACAATTGTTTATGGATAGACAACTTCTTTATTGCACTAGGTGCGACGTTTCGGTCGAAAGAAATCTCTTCTCATTGGCTAGTGGCTACACATAATGCCACTAAACATTTTCGCCTCAATTCAAATTTTACGTTTTATGTCAAATCATGTCCATTAGGCCCAATAATAATGTCTTGATCTTTAATCATATATGCCAATTCTATGCATCTTAAATCTTTGATGACTGTCTTCGTTGATGTTGAGAAATCATCAAAATGACGAGCTTGCTACACACTTTATATACAACTAACTGAAAATCCTTCCTCATATGACGTCACTGCAGTGCTCTGGCGACAGAGTTACGTAACCTGTCTGTGGTTTCGTTGGCGGGCGCAGGCGACTTTTTGGCAACTTTTAATCGCTCGGTATTAATTAACAAACAAGTTTTTTAAGAATGAATTTGGTGCTCCGCATAAGACTAACCACAAATCTTTCATATGTAATGGTTAAAAGAGTACAAAAAACCAAAGTTTATTTGTTCTTTAAGACTCTTGTTGCCAAGTGACACCTCCATCTTAGACATTTGATGCCATCTGACGTCTCTATGATCTCTTGTAACACTGATGACTGTATCCTTGATCTTAAGGCCACCTGCTGTCTCTATGATGTTTGATGGCAGCTGCTTCTCAGGTCTGTAACCTGTTCAAACATCTCACTGATGCTGTCTTCATCTCAGATCTCGACGAGGATCAGAGCAGCTCGCCTCGGAGGAGGAGATTCTGGCGGAGCTGGTGCAGGAGCAAGATGGGATGTCTGGTCTGTTGCCCCTGGAGACGGTGCAGGAAGAACAGGAAGTGGTGCCACCTGTTGTCAGGTCTCCATCTTCAGTATCCAACTACCCCGAGGAAATGATGAGGTGGGCTGTGTAACATTTCTTCAATAATAATATTAATGATGAATTCATTAATTACTTGCTGATAAAGGCAAATAGTTTTCTGAATGTTTTGCATTCATTAAGCAAGTTGTACTTTCCCACATCATTCAAAATGGTAACTCAGACAAGGCATCAATCATAAGTTAAGTATTTTCCTCAATGCATATTTTCTAAAACAATTCAAGGCATCTCACTGACACTGGTCAGTAAACACAAGAAGTTGAAATGTGTAATCTGTTGTAGATAAACTAGTAGTGATGTCATGATACAACTGTCTCCAGATACAATTTCTATCATTATGCTTTAGTCATTATACAATATGTATCACAATACTTAATTTGTAACAATTTTGTGTGAATTTTATATTTCATTGGACATAAAGGAAAAAAGCAAAAAGGCTTGAAACGTAGTGAATATTTGATCCCACGTTTAAAAATATTAATGTTTCAGTCAATCAATATTTCATTTTAGAGAAGATTGGAATGTCCAATTAAGTATTTAGTTATTAAATACCATAGCAAATTCACTGTGAAATACTTGAGCTGTGGCGTCCAAATTGCACAAATTGATAGAATGGGTCTATGAGCTACACGATATAGGTATTAGGTTATGAGCCAATACAGGTAAGTGTGTATAGCACAGCCTGTTGCCTGAGTCGAGTTTACTTCATTAAATAGGGGGCAGAGAATGTTATTGATGTTGTGTTCGTGAAAGACATGCCCACATAGATTCGTTACAACCCGATTCGGAAACATTAAACAAAATGTAGCTTCTTTTTAAAGAAAGTTAGGACATTGCTGACGATTTCAGAGAAGTCAAACGGCGATCTTGTCTCGGCTGTTGGACCATGTGAACAATCAACTGACAAAGGTGCACCCCTTCACAATAATAGACCAAACCAACTTCATTAGTACTCACTTGATCAGGTCAAGCTGAACAAGCTTTAATATGTTACCTGCAGCACTAACCATAGAAGCTAAGAAAAGTTAAGTGTAATGTTACCAAACCTCTCTAGTTTTTCATCTGTTAAGTCCTTTGTATTAGCCTGTATGTTCACATCATGTTCTGTATGTCAGACACGTGGAGCAGTCCTTTGTATTAGCCTGTATGTTCACATCATGTTCTGTATGTCAGACACGTGGAGCAGGCCTGGAGCAGTCCTTTGTATTAGCCTGTATGTTCACATCATGTTCTGTATGTCAGACACGTGGAGCAGTCCTTTGTATTAGCCTGTATGTTCACATCATGTTCTGTATGTCAGACAGGTGGAGCAGTCCTTTGTATTAGCCTGTATGTTCATATCATGTTCTGTATGTCAGACACGTGGAGCAGTCCTTTATATTAGCCTGTATGTTCACATCATGTTCTGTATGTCAGACACGTGGAGCAGCGAACAGTCACCAAGACGTGGACCAGATTCCACACCATCTGTGGTACTCACAACACCTTCCGCAGTTACGCTGCCAAAATGTTCAACGCTGTCCTAGGTAGGTGTCCAGGTATCTGGCAGGTTATATGCTGTCCTAGGTAGGTGTCCACGTATCTGGTAGGTTATATGCTGTACAAGGTAGGTGTCCACATTTACAGTATGTTCAATGCCGTCATAGGTAGATCTCCAAATTTATGTCCCGAAATATTTACCTGGAATGTTGGTCTACCAGCATTACACAATAGGGAATGTTGGTCTACCAGTATTACACAATAGGGAATGTTGGTCTACCAGTATTACACAATAGGGAATGTTGGTCTACCAGTATTACACAATAGGGAATGTTGGTCTACCAGTATTACACAATAGGGAATGTTGGTCTACCAGTATTACACAATAGGGAATGTTGGTCTACCAGTATTACACAATAGGGAATGTTGGTCTACCAGTATTACACAATATGTTGGTCTACCAGTATTACACAATAGGGAATGTTGGTCTACCAGTATTACACAACAGGGAATGTTGGTCTACCAGTATTACACAATAGGGAATGTTGGTCTACCAGTATTACACAATAGGGAATGTTGGTCTACCAGTATTACACAATAGGGAATTTTGGTTAGACTTGTTCCCCGGCAACCTGTACTGGTCGAAAGAGGCAACCAAATATAATTAGATGATGTTAAAGCGTCTGCTCGTCATGCTGAAGCCCTGGGTTTGATTCAGAACCTGGGTATAATGTGTAAAGCCCATTTCTGGTGTCCCCAGCCATGATATTGATGGAATATTGGTAAAAGTGGTGTAGAACATATTCACTCACTCGGTGGTCAGTCTCGATGGTCAGTCTCCGTTACTTGGTTGATAATGTGTCATTGACAGCATGAATTGTTTCCATTGATATCATTTACAGGATTGTATTATCAAGACTAGATTACTTACAAGCCACCTTTAACAACATTTCAGTTTTGCCATAACTGTCAACTTACGTTACAGACCTGTGTGGGAACCAGATTCTTGAAGCCAAACAGAAGGAGGCATACGGTGACATCTACCTCCGCAGGGGAAGGAACTGGTAAATGGCAGCAACTCCGGTCTGACCTGACCTGATCTGTCCTACAGCATGAATTTACCTTTCACACAGTAGCAGTTTATAAGTTGTTCTAAGGGCAAGGTTAGTAGCCCAGATTCCCCCAACTTGTTCAAAGGGAACTGTCACGAGTATTTATGACGTCAGGAGTGACACCAGCATCATATCACCCATGCAGTGTGCGAAATTTACGCTGGTTCTGGCTAGTCAACATTCATCAGGACAAGTAAGTTTGCAGTGGTCCTGGTGGCCAGTGAATTTGGTATTGATTGTTAAGTAAATGTACGAATGTTATTTAGACCAGTGAAGCACAGACAGGACCACTAATTATTGTCCACTCACTGATGCTGTGGTTTAGTGGGACATTTTGGAAGGTTTCTTTCCATGGCCATGTTGTGACTGAGCTGCTATGCAATTGTCCTGATGCTATATAGGTTACACAGCTAAATTGATGTGTAACCAAATACAAGTTTAATGAAAATCACCCATATATAATCATGGATGTCATGTTCCATGTGAATGGTAGAGTGAGTGTTGACAAGCAGGGAATTAACATTCCGTCACGACTTCATGATTAATTTCCTTTTGGATCAAAGCATCTGAGCTTAATTATTATTACCTCATTACTAAATCTGGCATACATTAAATGTCCTATGATTCCCGGTCTCTACTGTACAGATATATCGCACACAACTGTTAAGAGATCCACTTATAACTGCCAGTTGTTACTAGTCACAAATGTTATTTATATTTATACAATCATGATCTTGTCATCGTTAAGTTTTAAACTCTTCATACATTACCAAGTTACAAGTATGTGTTGATAATAAATTTGAGAGCACAAATGTTATTTATATTTATTCAATCATCAACACTTTACTGTTATATCTTTATGTTACCTAGTTACCAATATGTGTTCATAATGAACTTGAAAGCACAAATGTTATTTTAATATATTTAATTATGACCATGTTACTGTTATATATTTATGTTACCAAGTTACACGTATGTGTTGATAATGAATTTGAGAGCACAAAAGTTATTTATATTTATTCAATCATGAACATGTTACTGTTACAATGTATATTTTTTGTTACCTAGTTACCAGTATGAGTTGATGACCAGAATGTGCTTGGCTTGCTACTAAGGTGCATGTAAAAGTATGATCAATCATGATTCAATATAATTACAGCTTGGAGCATAATGTTACGGTATATTTTAAGGAATAAAAACTTTTAAAAAAATTGAACAAAAAGATATTTTGTATTATTATTTTAATGCCATCATTGAACACAGAACAAAATAATGTCCCCCAAGTTATAAAAACATGAAGCAACCATGTTGCCGTGACGATGGAGCGCACTAACATCACACTCTATGGTACAGGCTTCAATTTGATTTAAACTTCACCAGACCCTGTACCAAAGATCAGTCTTAGCATCACACCATGTGCATTTAACATATTCGTCACGATATGGCTGAGATATTGCCGATGTGACGTTAAATATTAACTCACTCACTCACCCATTTACCATATGGATGATACAATAATCTCAGTGCCAAGGTCACTACATACACACCCTGGCAGGATATGAACTTGACCAGGGGCAGCACTTTCACCACTACACTTAAGGCACACTTACCACTACAACAATATCCATATTAATGTACCATAGTTACAACAGTTTTAGGCTGTATAGACACAGATGAAGCTGAAGACGGACATGCCACCCCATCTTCAAATATAATAGGGCAGACTTTGGAGTTGTAAGCTGTAACTGATATATTGATATCAAAATATGCTCAAGAGAGATTGCATTTATCAATCCCAATATCATTCTTCTAACTTTAAGGTTTATAAACAGTAACAACCAGGGTCTTGAGTGCAAAAAGTAACCAGCATCAGTAGGAGAGAGACTGGTGATGTCATTTGATTGTGATGACATAGTAACATATCTTGTGGATGATAAAGGAATATCACATCAGACTAATGTGTGTTATGACGATTGTTAATGGGTGGTCTGGTGCAACGATCTGTTGCCCATCCTTGTCTCTGTCTAGATATGATAAGTGCTACTATTAATGACATTTAGCCATTGACTTTTTTTTATTGTAGCACATTATCAACTAGGAGTAAGCAAGGTGCATGATTTAACAACAAACACTTGTCTGTCGTAACAGTTCTATTATCTTACAGAAACCACATGTCCAAGATGTTCTCTGAAATATTCAGATGAAAACTGGTGTCTTTGTCTGTGCTCAAAATCATTGCAGTTCACTTACACCATCTGGGACCTCAGAACATCATTTTCTGTAGATTTTGAATATTAAAAGGCCATATATTAAAATATTCTTGTTTCTCATTACTGCCCGACCCAAATATTCGACCCAACCCTAAGATTTTTACATTATAGAAAATGCAACTTTGACTCTCAAAATGTGAATGATTTTTCACACTTCTAAGTTTTTATTTTCTGTCAGAGAAAAGGTGTAAATTTCCACAGAAATCAAGGAATTTTGGACATGAAATAAAATGTAAAAATATAATCTGCCTGCCCCACCCATATATTTTTAAAAAGTGATGAGAAAAGAGAATATTTTTTGTGTGGCCTTACTGAGATTAGGAAACAAAACAATTTTACAGTTGCAGTAAGATTTAACTGGTGTCTATCCCAGGTATCTGTTCCCTTATTTCTGTTCATCAGTATACATGGGCTATGATGTCAGATGATCAAGATGTCAGTGATGTGTACCAGACAGACATCCTCTCACTGACTACCCTCCATCAGTTGTCTCCCCTTTCTGCTGGAGCGTTGATGCTCATTTTGTCATGTAGCCGTTATAGGTGGAGGCACCAGTGTTGATGTGGCCGTGACCAGGTAACTCTTGCATCGGGATGTCGTCACTGAAACCAACACAACATACGTGACAATTGTGTTAAAGCTGATATACCTCAGGAAGGATCTTGAAACTAGATAGAAAAGCTTTTCTTTGCCCAAAAAGTGACAAATTCATTCATAAAATAGGGTAAATATACATGTACATCTGTGCATAAAATAAGCACCACCCTGTATTTTTACCAATTAATTTTGTCTGAAATGAAATTCTAAACTCTTTCCAAAAAATAACCTTTATAATTTGATAGAGCAAGCATCTAACATTTCAAAAACGAAAACATCATTGAAATTACCATGTATTGTAATTAGGATAATTGCCTATATTTAAAACAGGTGTTTTTCTGTCCTGAAACAAGTTACCTTATTTTGAAAAGTGAAAGTAATAATTGATTGTTGTGTGGCCTATAAATTCGCTATTTATTGTGAATGGATGGAAGGTTGTAAACTAAGATTGAGGAAAATTTACAGTCAAACTAAAAAAAGGAAAATTTTAGAATGCAGTAAAAGTTTCTTTACAAACAAAACAAACAGATTTTAGCTGTAATTATCAGTATCCGGCAAGTAGAAGTGTTTATTCATTACAATAAACTCAAAATCATAAACAATTTATTCCAAAATCTTATTAATGTGGCCTTTTTTCAGTTTTTGTCAATTAGCAATCTGAATTGTTGGAAAAAGGTCTGAATCTTTGACATTTGGGTTCTTCCTGATTATGCATAATTAAAGCTTACTTGATGTGTCAATGTCATCTTGGTATATAACAGAATTGTTATTTTTAGCCAAAACTTAATTTAATAGTGTAGTTTGAGCAGGAGAGTCATAGTTATTTTGGGTAAAAATTCAGTCCCATCACATTTTCATCTACATATTCTTTCATAAAGAATAGAAAAGGTTATGGTATTTGTAAACTTGTCAGTGGATAAAGCTTTTTAACTACAGGTTGATTAAATTGAAGGCTATACCCTAACTTTTCTGTAGCATCACATCTTATTTTCAAAATAGGGTGGTGCTTAATTAATGCACGGGTGTATACATTGAATATGTGAAGTAATTATACTGATTTTGAAACTACTCATATTTTCAGTTCAAGTCAAATTTGCTGCTATGGAAACTTGTAATATATTTTTTTTTAAATCCCAAACTATCAAAAGGCAAGAATTCATTTGGCGAGGAAGTATTGCAGAGGTACAGATAAGCTGCGTATCTGCGTAAATTATGCAAATATTTATGTGAAAACTCAATTTCTATTCTGTCTATTGCGTACAAGTACGCTTGAATTTTTGTAAATACTCAATAAATGTGATCTTACATACGTACACACAAAAATGTCAAATCTTAGCTTGCGTACCGTTGGATAGATAAAATAACTGAAGTATACTGAGAGGTTCTATTTCAGGACATAAACTTGACAACTTGCAGTCTTTCTTATCATTTCTCATATTACAGATCAAATATAAACAACAAACATTAACTTTTAATCTTCACTATATTTTCAAATTTAATGGAAAATGGCAAAATACCCAATTGAGTTTGAGTGAGGTGAGTACAATTTATTTGGTTACTCAAAGAAAAATTAGGATACCCAATTGAGATGTGCACAAACAAGTACATAACTCAATGGCCCAAAAGGTTATCTGCCGCTCTGGTATTGTATGATTTCAAAGATCAGCTCTGGAAATAACCTTTTGCGTAGAGTGATTGACAGGACTGACAGCATTTATAATGATATCACCATGTGTGATGAAAATAGAAATTCAAAGCCATCATGGCTGACGTGGGTTATGATAAAAATAATAATGAGCAAAAATGACACAAGCTGCATTTATATCCCTTTTCTTGACACATTCCGGAAAAAATGCTTGCCTGCTAAAAATCATAATTGTATGAATACCACCCAAGTGAGATCAATGTACAAAATCAAAATCTCTTCAACACTATCTGTAACGCTGAAAACAAGGTCAATGTCACATTTCTAAATTGTATGTATGAATATAATCTGTGAAGTATATACTGATAAATTTAACAGAAACAGTACAAAGGAAAATAATCAGCAACCTTAAAACATGAGTTCAATTCCACAACTTTCATCATTTGTGGTCTTTCAAAGAAACTTTTTGATTACGGTGAATTTCAGAAAGATACATAGTGTTTGAGATATAAACAGCAAATTAGTCAAACGGTTCCCACATCTTTGAAGGTGAAACATTTTCAAGGTCAGCATTATCAACAAATACCAAAATACCTTGCCATCAGTTTGAACCATATGCAGAAGCTCTAGAGATGGCTCTAACGATCAGCAAATTGTTCGAACACTTACTAACATCTTTAAAATAAGGTCAAGGTCACTACACTCAACTGGTGTCTGCAAAGAGCCATTAAACACCTTGATGCAAATCCATACTACAGTTCTAGAGATCAATCACTATTTACATACTACATATCTTCATGTGGTCCTCTGTTTCACACACTGACACAGCAGCAGGGAACACACAAAGCAGTAGGACATCACCAGATGATGGCCAATGCGGAACACGACACAGACTTACTAATTGAAGGGGTCATCTTCATTGTCCGGATACTGGGGTGGGGGCTGTAGGCAGGATGGCCAGGGGGCTGGGATTGAAGGGGTCATCTTCATTGTCCGGATACTGGGGTGGGGGCTGTAGGCAGGAGGGAGGGGCTGGGAACACTGAGTCGCCATCGATGTTGTCTACAAACACATCAGAACAATACATGAAGTACAGAGACAGCTGAAAAGGAACATGTATTTTGGAATATGATAGGTAGATTAATGCAGTTATTCCTGCAACCATTACCTCTCTGTATCACAGTGTATTATTTGTGTTGTGCAGATATGTTAGCTATCGTTAGAAATATTTAACCTATCATCGATATTATTAAAGCAGTTGTATGTACTTGCTTCAAACTGGTGGTTGAGTCACCGAGGAAGATACCTTCTCTGGATGCCACTTGTGGGTGTAAGCTGTAAACATGCTTACCTCTGGAGAGTTCCCGGAGCTGACACACGCCACCTGTGGGTGTAAGCTCTAAACATGCTTACCTCTGAAGAGTTCCAGGAGCTGACTGACACGCATCCCGTGGTCGGAACCCACGCCGATGTCGGTGATCACGGTCCAGGGTCATACACTGATCGTTGTTCATGAGGGGCGTGTCTCGCTTCTGTGACATGTGACGGAGACTGAGCGATGCCCGACGTACAGACTCATAGCGGCTGTACTGCTCACTGCCAGAAGAAGGTGACGGTCAGCAACATCATGTTCAAAACACACGTTCCTCAAAACTTGACATGGTAACACAGTGTTTTGTATCAAGTTGGACAGAGATGGGTCTGTCATTGTCTACAGTCACTCAAAAATGAACTTTCAAAGGTTTTCATGATCCTGACAAGACAGTTCGAACAAAAGCCAGACATTTCAGAAGAAAGAAAAATAATGACCATGTTCAGTTTGTAGGAAACTGGTATCAAAATGTTACTTGCAAGGTGAGCCATCAAGCCTTAAATGTTGCTCACCAGTTTCAAATTTCAGTCCCTTAAATATGCAACAATATATTTTTTGTTCCCCATTATTTTAGGTTTTGTAAGTAATGCTGCTTAAAACAGGTTAAACAACAAATAATAAACAATAAATAAACACTGATGAAGTCAATAACTGTAATCTTGTTACAGATATTTATCTTATTTTAGTTAATGGTAGTATTGACCTACGGAATTGGGAGAACTTATGATAATTTAATCGACTTGGAGGTGTGCCTGTATCACTAACAAAATCTGAGTGGCTGCTCCAGCTTGGGACATTTCAGAACCTTTAGCCTGACCAAAGTTTTGCTAGCCACAGGCCAGCAGGCCGGCAGCTATTTTGGACACTGACTACTGATCATGATGCACCATGCTAATTTCTACTGTCCAGCTAATCCGACTATTCATTGTAATTTTGTACATGTACTGATGAAAATATATCGTATGTGTGTGTGTGTGCTTGAGTGTACGAAGCTGCATGTGTGAGTATGCATGGTATATATATATATATATATATATATACACACTCATTCTCTTAACACAGAGGTTACTCAAGTCATATCTTCCTACGTAACCTCTTTTCTTACTTCTAATACGACCATATTTCCCGGTTCTCGTAAAATCCCCTGGCGGCAAAAAATCACAACACAAATTATCTCCCTTCTTTATATCCAATCAGAACACGTGTTACATCGATCCAATATGGCAGCCGCCATGGAGTTAGTTGATCAATATGTGAAGGATAGATTTGTATTTCATGTTCAACTGAAAATCAGAAACTAGCAATAGAAAGTGCATTCTGTTCCCACAGAGGTTACTTGTCATATCTTCCTTCGAACCTCTGTTCTAATACGGCCATATTTCCCGGTTCTTGTAAAATCCCCCTAGTCTCAGGATATCGCTACACGAATTATCTCCCTTCTTTCTTCTGTTACATCGACTTAGATCCAACTTGACTAATGCAAGCAAATATGGGGTCACAAATATCCCTCCTCTGCTGGGGACTTGTGTTGATGTGACACACAAGACATTTAATGGCTAGCTTGTCCGTTGTCAACGAGGGCGATGGAGATGCTATTGAGTCGCCATTACATGACTGAGTTCTGTCTAGAAGAAACGTTTGCGCATCGTACAGGGGAAGAAGTTCTAGTTTTCCCCGAAGCATACGGAAATTACTGAGGCCTTGCGAATGATCACTTTTGAAACAACGTCGCTGATTGCACAACTAAATCTGATTGCAACCAATCATGAATCCTGAACACTCGCACCATGAAAGGGTCGTATTAGAACAGAGGTTACATGGGAAGATACGACAAGTAACCTCTGTGGGAAGAGAATGATACACACTTTAGTTTGACTCGATTCATTTACTCAGTATTCACCTGAGGACAGGATATGAAGCACTATTGTGAATAGCATAGAACTTGTTATAGATAGATACATGCCACATAGTCCTGTGATCAGGTTTACTTACTGACTAAACACTGAAAAGTATGTATCCGGGTATCTTAGTGTTAGTGTTAGTGTACAGCTTGTTCAGCTTGACCTGATCAAGTGAATACTAATGCATTGCGTGACCGTGTCACAACTGGTTGGGTCCATTATTGTGAAGGGGTGTACCTTAGTCAGTTCATTGTCAACAGCTGAGACATGGTCGCTGTTTGACATCTCAGTGTCGAAAAATCATCAGCAATGTCCTAACTTTCTTTAAAAAGGAAGCTAGAGATGGTTTAATGTTTCCAATTCGGGCTTTTAGGCATTAAAAACATTCTCTGCTCCCCATTTCAATGAAGTTAACTTGACCTGCCGGGTCATGCATATGTAGAGTAGCTAAGGTAAAGCTGAACAAGCTGTAAGTTTGTGCATGCTCATACTCAATTTCTGCTTATAATCAAGATTAGGTCGTTTGTTGAAGGAACAATGTATTTTCATAGATTAAGTAAAGCATACATTTTTGTGATGTATTTTCTGAAATCAAATATGAATGTGATGAACATGCAACTATGACCTTGACAATGTACATAGCAAGCTTGGAGGAGCAGGATTGGTTGACAGCATCACTGACTTAACACTAGCCTACAGTTCTACCCAACAGCTCTACTAGTCTAGAACATACACATCCTAATATCTGGAACACTCAAACCTAGAACATCCATATCCAACACCTCTACTAGTCTAGAACATACACATCCTAATATCTGGAACACTCAAACCTAGAACATCCATATCCAACACCTCTACTAGTCTAGAACATACACATCCTAATATCTGGAACACTCAAACCTAGAACATCCATATCCAACACCTCTACTAGTCTAGAAGTTGAACATACACATCCTAATATCTGGAACACTCAAACCTAGAACATCCATATCCAACACCTCTACTAGTCTAGAACATACACATCCTAATATCTGGAACACTCAAACCTAGAACATCCATATCCAACACCTCTACTAGTCTAACATACACATCCTAATATCTGGAACACTCAAACCTAGAACATCCATATCCAACACCTCTACTAGTCTAGAACATACACATCCTAATATCTGGAACACTCAAACCTAGAACATCCATATCCAACACCTCTACTAGTCTAGAACATACACATCCTAATATCTGGAACACTCAAACCTAGAACATCCATATCCAACACCTCTACTAGTCTAGAACATACACATCCTAATATCTGGAACACTCAAACCTAGAACATCCATATCCAACACCTCTACTAGTCTAGAACATACACATCCTAATATCTGGAACACTCAAACCTAGAACATCCATATCCAACACCTCTACTAGTCTAGAACATACACATCCTAATATCTGGAACACTCAAACCTAGAACATCCATATCCAACACCTCTACTAGTCTAGAACATACACATCCTAATATCTGGAACACTCAAACCTAGAACATCCATATCCAACACCTCTACTAGTCTAGAACATACACATCCTAATATCTGGAACACTCAAACCTAGAACATCCATATCCAACACCTCTACTAGTCTAGAACATACACATCCTAATATCTGGAACACTCAAACCTAGAACATCCATATCCAACACCTCTACTAGTCTAGAACATACACATCCTAATATCTGGAACACTCAAACCTAGAACATCCATACCCAACAGCTCTACTAGTCTAGAACATACACATCCTAATATCTGGAACACTCAAACCTAGAACATCCATACCCAGAACTTTCCCCCAACTGGAATACTCTGATGGTGAACCTCCCCATTTAAAACACATCCATCTAAAACACTCCCACCTAGAACACCCATATAACACCTTCCCGGAGTAGAATGCTCTTACCCCCGTCCAAATATATCCCCAGAACAACTCATCCATGTAAACATCTCCATCCAGAACTCCAGTCACAAGAATGATCAGCTCTGATCAGCTCTCCCCAACAACAAAATTGATCTAGCATATTTACGACACTTTCCCGAGTTTAACCAGTACGTTATTGAGTCTTGACCAAACAAACAAACCACGGGTTGATATGATCACCAATGTCCTGAACAACTGGGGGGTAAGGACACCCAATCAAAAATATGATCCTGATCATCTGATCTAATATGTCACTGTTTCCAACCAGCAATGGTACTGGAGGCTAATTCTAATTACTGTCACTTCGAGAGAGGACTCCACAACTCAATCAGAAAACTATTGAACCACCATTTACAAAGGCCAAATAAAAAAAATGTTGTGGTTCCGATTACCCCTCTTTGAAATTTAGGGTAGGTAGGTAGGAGTTTGTTTTTGTATTTTTTTACATTTTTTTAGAAGTAAAGTATACAGTGTACTCTGTCAATACCGGCATCAGTCGGGACCAAATAAAAGTGCCGGTTTTGACAGAGTGCCGGTTTAGCTAGGTCCGCTTATGACGCCTGCGCACACGGAAGTTCGCTGTCGTACTGTCACTTTAGCATTAACAAGATGTTTGAATAAGAAACAAGGCAGTGTCTGAATGCACATTCATGTTGTTTAAATCAAATAAAAATGTCTGAAATCTCTTATTAAATTTCAACTGATCATATATTATCGGCAGAATTAAAATTATAAACTATTTTTCGCAATGTTATTGATTCTTGCTTATGCTTCGGCAGCGGGTCTACAATAGTATTGTCAAAGAGCAAAGTAACGATGTTTCAAACATCGAGGAAATCATTAAATAAATTGAAATCAACAATAACATTCATAAAAGTTGTCAAACGTACATATAAAATTACTATTTCCATACTTTTGTGCGATCATGCAATGTAAGTCAAGTCACTAACAAGTTACATCTCGGCTTTCACCACCTCCGTCTTGACGCCCGGACTCGATGCTTAATGTGAAAATATATGCTTGAAGCATTTTTGTCATAGGCCATAACCTAGCACGATATGTCCAATACGCTCCATAATTTACGATAGGTAGCTTATGTCTTTCTTAATATGTTCAGAATAGCATTATTTTACCAAAAACCTTTTGTCATAATCTAAAAGTTTTCGTTTACGAGGAAGGTATCCATTTCCATAATATGATTGGCTGCTTAGGTCACGTGTCTGATTTTGACCAATCACGACCCTTATAAGCAGAGTGTAGTGAAAAAGCGTCGTTAGAAACCAATCTTTATCCAATAAAATCGCTTCTTACAAATGTTAAAATACTCTCGGCAAGAGTACAGTGATATTGTTGATGTTAAGAGCTTTCGAACGATACCCACCATCAAACGATTCGCCTCTATGTAAGTGACACGCCACTCACTAATTAACAAGAAACTGATTGACACTTCCCCGCTTCTGAATAATCTCGAGTCAATATCCGCTGAATCAACAAAATGTAAACACTTGCTTGTTTATACAGTCAAACTGCCCACTACATTATTAATTACTCAGGGTAAGTGTTACGCACCACTCACTGATTAACAAGATACTGATTAACACTTCCCGCTTCTGAATAATCTCGAGTCACAGCGAATTGTGTTGTTACATCATTTGGACCTAATTGCATCAAAGGGTTACGCCGTCTTTCATGTGCTGGTTTTTACAGATTCGTTTTCATAACAACTTGTTTGTTGGGACTGAAAAACAATGCCGATATCCTGAATAGACAGATGCCGATGTTTACAGAAGTTTCTAAATGATAATAACGTGCATTTCTGCCGGGACTGAAACTTTGTGCCGATGTAGACAGAGTGCCGGTGTTTACAGAGGCCGGTATTGACAGAGTCCACTGTACAAACTAATAACACATTTATCAATGTGTAATTGTTTATTCAATCAAGCTTACGGTCATCATGTCGACTTTCTCTATCTGAGTGACTGATGTCCGACGGTGATGGGAAAAAACAATCTGAAATCTTATTTTATTCATACCGCTTGAAAGAGATAGGGTCGGCACCAGAATTCAAGGGTCGGTTGGGTAATCGGAGCCGCAACACTTTTTTTTTAGGCCAAATGCTTCTCACTACAAATGTAGCCAGATCTGAGTGTCCTACAATACACCTGCAACTAGTTGACTGGATGTTAAAGGGGAATTACCAGTGGTTTGTTAGTTGTGTTAGCAGCCATTACCCAGCAAATATAATCATTAATACAAAATGTTTGCCAAATGAGATGAAGTTGTTAGTGACATGAGACAGAGTTGTTAGCGACATGAGACAATGCTGTTAGCAACTTGAGATGCTGTAAGAACCACTTACTCATCAGCTTCTAACTTTCTCTTCCTGAAAGAAAACCAAGTGCCAACTGTGAAACTGTTCAACTATCATTACAAGATCTGTTTAACTATCATTACAAGATGAAGGTTGAATAAATGACACGTTTTTAAGGATAACAACTTCTTTGTATTCTTTATACGAGATTTCAGAGCTAATTCCTGCTCCTTCGTCATCACCCACCTGTTGAACAAAGCAGAATTTTAGCTCTGAAACATCGTATAAAGAATATACAAAAGTTGTTATCCATAAAAACGTGTCATGTATTCATGTTTGTCCAGCTTCTAAATGCCTTTCAAGAACATTTAAAATATGGTACTTGTTGGTCCCTGCCTGGCGCTCAGCATTAATGGGTACAACAAGGACTGGTCGGCTCGGGAGTCAGTATAATGTGTCTGAGTGGGGTATTCATGCTTCACTGCGGCATGGTATCTCAGTGGGCTAGCACTATAAAACCAGCTTAAGTCTGGGTTAGTACAAGCAGCCGCACATACACATAGACGTCGTCATATGAGCGAAATATTTTTAAGCACGACATAAAACCTAATTTTACCTCGTGTGATCTACAGTCTCCAGTGTATTCAGCCTACAGTGTGTCCTTCAAGTCTCCATGTAATCTACAGTCTCCAGTGTGTCCTTCAAGTCGCCATGTGATCTACAGTCTCCAGTGTGTCCTTCAAGTCTCCATGTGATCTACAGTCTCCATGTGATCTACAGTCTCCAGTGTGTCCTTCAAGTCTCCATGTGATCTACAGTCTCCATGTGATCTACAGTCTCCAGTGTGTCCTTCAAGTCTCCATGTGATCTACAGTCTCCATGTGATCTACAGTCTCCAGTGTGTCCTTCAAGTCTCCATGTGATCTACAGTCTCCATGTAATCTACAGTCTCCAGTGTGTCCTTCAAGTCTCCATGTGATCTACAGTCTCCATGTGATCTACAGTCTCCAGTGTGTCCTTCAAGTCTCCATGTGATCTACAGTCTCCATGTAATCTACAGTCTCCAGTGTGTCCTTCAAGTCTCCATGTGATCTACAGTCTCCATGTAATCTACAGTCTCCAGTGTGTCCTTCAAGTCTCCATGTGATCTACAGTCTCCATGTGATCTACAGTCTCCAGTGTGTCCTTCAAGTCTCCATGTGATCTACAGTCTCCAGTGTGTCCTTCAAGTCTCCATGTGATCTACAGTCTCCATGTAATCTACAGTCTCCAGTGTGTCCTTCAAGTCTCCATGTGATCTACAGTCTCCATGTGATCTACAGTCTCCAGTGTGTCCTTCAAGTCTCCATGTAATCTACAGTCTCCAGTGTGTCCTTCAAGTCGCCATGTGATCTACAGTCTCCAGTGTGTCCTTCAAGTCTCCATGTGATCTACAGTCTCCATGTGATCTACAGTCTCCAGTGTGTCCTTCAAGTCGCCATGTGATCCTACAGTCTCCAGTGTGTCCTTCAAGTCTCCATGTGATCTACAGTCTCCATGTGATCTACAGTCTCCAGTGTGTCCTTCAAGTCGCCATGTGATCTACAGTCTCCAGTGTGTCCTTCAAGTCTCCATGTAATCTACAGTCTCCAGTGTGTCCTTCAAGTCTCCATGTGATCTACAGTCTCCATGTGATCTACAGTCTCCAGTGTCCTTCCAAGTCTCCATGTGATCTACAGTCTCCATGTGATCTACAGTCTCCAGTGTGTCCTTCAAGTCTCCATGTGATCTACAGTCTCCAGTGTGTCCTTCAAGTCTCCATGTGATCTTACAGTCTCCATGTAATCTACAGTCTCCAGTGTGTCCTTCAAGTCTCCATGTGATCTACAGTCTCCATGTGATCTCACAGTCTCCAGTGTGTCCTTCAAGTCTCCATGTGATCTACAGTCTCCATGTGATCTACAGTCTCCAGTGTGTCCTTCAAGTCGCCATGTGATCTACAGTCTCCAGTGTGTCCTTCAAGTCTCCATGTGATCTACAGTCTCCATGTGATCTACAGTCTCCAGTGTGTCCTTCAAGTCGCCATGTGATCTACAGTCTCCATGTGATCTACAGTCTCCAGTGTGTCCTTCAAGTCTCCATGTGATCTACAGTCTCCATGTAATCTACAGTCTCCAGTGTGTCCTTCAAGTCTCCATGTGATCTACAGTCTCCATGTGATCTACAGTCTCCAGTGTGTCCTTCAAGTCTCCATGTGATCTACAGTCTCCATGTGATCTACAGTCTCCAGTGTATTCAGCCTACAGTGTCCTTCAAGTCTCCATGTGATCTACAGTTTCTAGTGTATTCAGCCTACAGTGTGTCCTTCAAGTCTCCATGTGATCTACAGTCTCCAGTGTTTTCAACCTACAGTGTGTCCTTCAAGTCGCCATGTGATCTACAGTCTCCAGTGTATTCGGCCTACAGTGTGTCCTTCAAGTCTCCATGTGATCTACAGTCTCCAGTGTATTCGGCCTACAGTGTGTCCTTCAAGTCTCCATGTGATCTACAGTCTCCAGTGTTTTCAACCTACAGTGTGTCCTTCAAGTCTCCATGTGATCTACAGTCTCCAGTGTATTCGGCCTACAGTGTGTCCTTCAAGTCTCAATGTGATCTACAGTCTCCAGTGTATTCGGCCTACAGTGTGTCCTTTCCAAGTCAGCCTCCTGTGATCTACAGTCTCCAGTGTATTCGGCCTACAGTGTGTCCTTCAAGTCGCCATGTGATCTACAGTCTCCAGTGTATTCGGCCTACAGTGTGTCCTTCAAGTCGCCATGTGATCTACAGTCTCCAGTGTATTCGGCCTACAGTGTGTCCTTCAAGTTTCCATGTGATCTACAGTCTCCAGTGTATTCGGCCTACAGTGTGTCCTTCAAGTCTCCATGTGATCTACAGTCTCCATGTAATCTACAGTCTCCAGTGTGTCCTTCAAGTCTCCATGTGATCTACAGTCTCCATGTGATCTACAGTCTCCAGTGTGTCCTTCAAGTCTCCATGTGATCTACAGTCTCCATGTAATCTACAGTCTCCAGTGTGTCCTTCAAGTCTCCATGTGATCTACAGTCTCCATGTAATCTACAGTCTCCAGTGTGTCCTTCAAGTCTCCATGTGATCTACAGTCTCCATGTGATCTACAGTCTCCAGTGTGTCCTTCAAGTCTCCATGTGATCTACAGTCTCCAGTGTGTCCTTCAAGTCTCCATGTGATCTACAGTCTCCATGTAATCTACAGTCTCCAGTGTGTCCTTCAAGTCTCCATGTGATCTACAGTCTCCATGTGATCTACAGTCTCCAGTGTGTCCTTTCAAGTCTCCATGTAATCTACAGTCTCCAGTGTGTCCTTCAAGTCGCCATGTGATCTACAGTCTCCAGTGTGTCCTTCAAGTCTCCATGTGATCTACAGTCTCCATGTGATCTACAGTCTCCAGTGTGTCCTTCAAGTCGCCATGTGATCTACAGTCTCCAGTGTGTCCTTCAAGTCTCCATGTGATCTACAGTCTCCATGTGATCTACAGTCTCCAGTGTGTCCTTCAAGTCTCCATGTAATCTACAGTCTCCAGTGTGTCCTTCAAGTCGCCATGTGATCTACAGTCTCCAGTGTGTCCTTCAAGTCTCCATGTGATCTACAGTCTCCATGTGATCTACAGTCTCCAGTGTGTCCTTCAAGTCTCCATGTGATCTACAGTCTCCATGTGATCTACAGTCTCCAGTGTGTCCTTCAAGTCTCCATGTGATCTACAGTCTCCATGTGATCTACAGTCTCCAGTGTGTCCTTCAAGTCTCCATGTGATCTACAGTCTCCAGTGTGTCCTTCAAGTCTCCATGTGATCTACAGTCTCCATGTAATCTACAGTCTCCAGTGTGTCCTTCAAGTCTCCATGTGATCTACAGTCTCCATGTGATCTACAGTCTCCATGTGATCTACAGTCTCCAGTGTGTCCTTCAAGTCTCCATGTGATCTACAGTCTCCATGTAATCTACAGTCTCCAGTGTGTCCTTCAAGTCTCCATGTGATCTACAGTCTCCATGTAATCTACAGTCTCCAGTGTATTCAGCCTACAGTGTCCTTCAAGTCTCCATGTGATCTACAGTTTCTAGTGTATTCAGCCTACAGTGTGTCCTTCAAGTCTCCATGTGATCTACAGTCTCCAGTGTTTTCAACCTACAGTGTGTCCTTCAAGTCGCCATGTGATCTACAGTCTCCAGTGTATTCGGCCTACAGTGTGTCCTTCACGTCGCCATGTGATCTACAGTCTCCAGTGTATTCGGCCTACAGTGTGTCCTTCAAGTCTCCATGTGATCTACAGTCTCCAGTGTATTCTGCCTACAGTGTGTCCTTCAAGTCTCCATGTGATCTACAGTCTCCAGTGTTTTCAACCTACAGTGTGTCCTTCAAGTCTCCATGTGATCTACAGTCTCCAGTGTATTCGGCCTACAGTGTGTCCTTCAAGTCTCAATGTGATCTACAGTCTCCAGTGTATTCGGCCTACAGTGTGTCCTTCAAGTCGCCATGTGATCTACAGTCTCCAGTGTATTCGGCCTACAGTGTGTCCTTCAAGTCTCCATGTGATCTACAGTCTCCAGTGTATTCGGCCTACAGTGTGTCCTTCAAGTCTCAATGTGATCTACAGTCTCCAGTGTATTCGGCCTACAGTGTGTCCTTCAAGTCAGCCCTGTGATCTACAGTCTCCAGTGTATTCGGGCCTACAGTGTGTCCTTCAAGTCAGCCATGTGATCTACAGTCTCCAGTGTATTCGGCCTACAGTGTGTCCTTCAAGTCGCCATGTGATCTACAGTCTCCAGTGTATTCGGCCTACAGTGTGTCCTTCAAGTCGCCCTGTGATCTACAGTCTCCAGTGTATTCGGCCTACAGTGTGTCCTTCAAGTCGCCATGTGATCTACAGTCTCCAGTGTATTCGGCCTACAGTGTGTCCTTCAAGTTTCCATGTGATCTACAGTCTCCAGTGTATTCGGCCTACAGTGTGTCCTTCAAGTCTCCATGTGATCTACAGTCTCCATGTAATCTACAGTCTCCAGTGTGTCCTTCAAGTCTCCATGTGATCTACAGTCTCCATGTGATCTTACAGTCTCCAGTGTGTCCTTTCAAGTCTCCATGTGATCTACAGTCTCCATGTAATCTACAGTCTCCAGTGTGTCCTTCAAGTCTCCATGTGATCTACAGTCTCCATGTAATCTACAGTCTCCAGTGTGTCCTTCAAGTCTCCATGTGATCTACAGTCTCCATGTGATCTACAGTCTCAGTGTGTCCTTCAAGTCTCCATGTGATCTACAGTCTCCAGTGTGTCCTTCAAGTCTCCATGTGATCTACAGTCTCCATGTAATCCTATAGTCTCCTCAGTGTGTCCTTCAAGTCTCCATGTGATCTACAGTCTCCATGTGATCTACAGTCTCCAGTGTGTCCTTCAAGTCTCCATGTAATCTACAGTCTCCAGTGTGTCCTTCAAGTCGCCATGTGATCTACAGTCTCCAGTGTGTCCTTCAAGTCTCCATGTGATCTACAGTCTCCATGTGATCTACAGTCTCCAGTGTGTCCTTCAAGTCGCCATGTGATCTACAGTCTCCAGTGTGTCCTTCAAGTCTCCATGTGATCTACAGTCTCCATGTGATCTACAGTCTCCAGTGTGTCCTTCAAGTCTCCATGTAATCTACAGTCTCCAGTGTGTCCTTCAAGTCGCCATGTGATCTACAGTCTCCAGTGTGTCCTTCAAGTCTCCATGTGATCTACAGTCTCCATGTGATCTACAGTCTCCAGTGTGTCCTTCAAGTCTCCATGTGATCTACAGTCTCCATGTGATCTACAGTCTCCAGTGTGTCCTTCAAGTCTCCATGTGATCTACAGTCTCCATGTGATCTACAGTCTCCAGTGTGTCCTTCAAGTCTCCATGTGATCTACAGTCTCCAGTGTGTCCTTCAAGTCTCCATGTGATCTACAGTCTCCATGTAATCTACAGTCTCCAGTGTGTCCTTCAAGTCTCCATGTGATCTACAGTCTCCATGTGATCTACAGTCTCCATGTGATCTACAGTCTCCAGTGTGTCCTTCAAGTCTCCATGTGATCTACAGTCTCCATGTAATCTACAGTCTCCAGTGTGTCCTTCAAGTCTCCATGTGATCTACAGTCTCCATGTGATCTACAGTCTCCAGTGTGTCCTTCAAGTCTCCATGTGATCTACAGTCTCCATGTGATCTACAGTCTCCAGTGTATTCAGCCTACAGTGTCCTTCAAGTCTCCATGTGATCTACAGTTTCTAGTGTATTCAGCCTACAGTGTGTCCTTCAAGTCTCCATGTGATCTACAGTCTCCCAGTGTTTTCAACCTACAGTGTGTCCTTCAAGTCAGCCATGTGATCTACAGTCTCCAGTGTATTCGCCTACAGTGTGTCCTTCACGCCGCCATGTGATCTACAGTCTCCAGTGTATTATTGGCCTACAGTGTGTCCTTCAAGTCTCCATGTGATCTACAGTCTCCAGTGTATTCGGCCTACAGTGTGTCCTTCAAGTCTCCATGTGATCTACAGTCTCCAGTGTTTTCAACCTACAGTGTGTCCTTCAAGTCTCCATGTGATCTACAGTCTCCAGTGTATCTGGCCTACAGTGTGTCCTTCAAGTCTCAATGTGATCTACAGTCTCCAGTGTATTGGCCTACAGTGTGTCCTTTTCAAGTCTCCCTGTGATCTACAGTCTCCAGTGTATTCGCCTACAGTGTGTCCTTCAAGTCGCCATGTGATCTACAGTCTCCAGTGTATTCGGCCTACAGTGTGTCCTTCAAGTCGCCATGTGATCTACAGTCTCCAGTGTATTCGGCCTACAGTGTGTCCTTCAAGTTTCCATGTGATCTACAGTCTCCAGTGTATTCGGCCTACAGTGTGTCCTTCAAGTCTCCATGTGATCTACAGTCTCCAGTGTATTCGGCCTACAGTGTGTCCTTCAAGTCTCCATGTGATCTACAGTCTCCATGTGATCTACAGTCTCCAGTGTATTCAGCCTACAGTGTCCTTCAAGTCTCCATGTGATCTACAGTTTCTAGTGTATTCAGCCTACAGTGTGTCCTTCAAGTCTCCATGTGATCTACAGTCTCCAGTGTATTCGGCCTACAGTGTGTCCTTCAAGTCTCCATGTGATCTACAGTCTCCATGTGATCTACAGTCTCCAGTGTATTCAGCCTACAGTGTCCTTCAAGTCTCCATGTGATCTACAGTCTCCAGTGTTTTCAACCTACAGTGTGTCCTTCAAGTCTCCATGTGATCTACAGTCTCCAGTGTTTTCAACCTACAGTGTGTCCTTCAAGTCTCAATGTGATCTACAGTCTCCAGTGTATTCGGCCTACAGTGTGTCCTTCAAGTCTCAATGTGATCTACAGTCTCCAGTGTATTCGGCCTACAGTGTGTCCTTCAAGTCGCCATGTGATCTACAGTCTCCAGTGTATTGGCCTACAGTGTGTCCTTCAAGTCTCCATGTGATCTACAGTCTCCAGTGTATCTGGCCTACAGTGTGTCCTTCAAGTCTCAATGTGATCTACAGTCTCCAGTGTATTCAGCCTACAGTGTGTCCTTCAAGTCTCCATGTGATCTACAGTCTCCAGTGTATTCAGCCTACAGTGTGTCCTTCAAGTCTCCATGTGATCTACAGTCTCCAGTGTATTGGGCCTACAGTGTGTCCTTCAAGTCTCCCATGTGATCTACAGTCTCCAGTGTATTCGGCCTACAGTGTGTCCTTCAAGTCTCCATGTGATCTACAGTCTCCAGTGTATTCGGCCTACAGTGTGTCCTTCAAGTCTCCATGTGATCTACAGTCTCCAGTGTATTCGGCCTACAGTGTGTCCTTCAAGTCTCCATGTGATCTACAGTCTCCAGTGTATTCGGCCTACAGTGTGTCCTTCAAGTCTCCATGTGATCTACAGTCTCCAGTGTATTCGGCCTACAGTGTGTCCTTCAAGTCTCCATGTGATCTACAGTCTCCAGTGTATTCAGCCTACAGTGTGTCCTTCAAGTCTCCATGTGATCTACAGTCTCCAGTGTCTCTAGTCTCTACATGCTCAGTACCTTCACTTTCAGCGTATGTCTTACATGTTGAATGACAGACTGGTGAGTGTATCACCCTACTGGATAACCTGGCTATTTATCATGTTGTTGGAGAGCCGGTCAATATACCATCATTCTGGATATACTGGCTAACCAGTCATCATGTCATCCCATTACAAACCAGTTAACAAATCACCCTGATGGATAACTAGTTAATATATCTTCTTACTGATTTACCAGTCAGCATATCACCCTGAGTGAGTGATTGACTGGACTGGTCAGTATGTAATGATACTGACTGACTGGTCATTATGTAATGACACTGACTGGCTTGTCATTATGGAATGAGTGAGTGAGTGAGTTTAGTTTTACATTACACTCAGCAATATTCCAGCTATATGGCGACTGTCTGTAAATAATCGAGTCTGGACCAGACAATCCAGTGATCAACAGCATGAGCATCGATCTGCACAAATGGGAACCGATGACATGTGTCATTCAAGCCAGTGAGCCTGACCACCCGATCCCGCTAGTCGCCTCTTATGACAAGCATGGGTTACTGAAGGCTAATTCTAACCCGGACCTTCACAGGTCATTATGGAATGACACTGACTGGCTTGTCATTATGGAATGATACTGACTGGCCTGTCATTATGGAATGATACTGACAGGCTTGTCATCGTTATGGAATGACACTGACTGGCTTGTCATTATGGAATGACACTGACTGGCTTGTCATTATGGAATGATACTGACTGGTTTGTCATTGTGGAATGACACTGACTGGCCTGTCTTTATGGAATGATACTGACTGGCCTGTCATTATGGAATGATACTGACAGGCTTGTCGTTATGGAATGACACTGACTGGCTTGTCATTATGGAATGATACTGACTGGTTTGTCATTGTGGAATGACACTGACTGGCCTGTCTTTATGGAATGATACTGACTTGTCATTATGGAATGATACTGACAGGCTTGTCATTATGGAATGACACTGACTGGCTTGTCATTATGGAATGATACTGACTGGTTTGTCTGACACTGACTGGTTTGTCATTATGGAATGATACTGACTGGCTTGTCATTATGGAATGATACTGACTGGCTTGTCATTATGGAATGATACTGACAGGCTTGTCATTATGGAATGATACTGACTGGTTTGTCATTATGGAATGATACTGACAGGCCTGTCATTATGGAATGATACTGACTGGCTTGTCATTATGGAATGATACTGACAGGCTTGTCATTATGGAATGATACTGACTGGCTTGTCATTATGGAATGATACTGACAGGCTTGTCATTATGGAATGATACTGACTGGCTTGTCATTATGTAATGACACTGACTGGCTTGTCATTATGAAATGACACTGAATGACTGACAGGTCATTATGCAATGATACTGACCGACTGGTCAGTATGTAATGATATGTACCAACTGATCATTATGAAATGACACTGAATGACTGACTGGTCATTATGTAATGATACTAACCGACTGGTCAGTATGTAATTATATGTACCAACTGATCATTATGAAATGACACTGACTGACTGGTCATTATGTAATGATACTGACCGACTGGAACCTGAGCTGCACATGCACATGGCCATGCAGAATGCAAGGATGAGGCCGATGCCACTTGGTAGCACCACTGTCAGCAGAAAGTCCAGGAACAGATCCAGGTGGCGCTCATCTCCATAGTTGGGAGGATTGAACTCCGACATTGTCTTCAAAGCAAGAGTCTCTGTAGAATCCATTGTGCTCTGTTAACAGGTCAACTGTCTGAAACAACACTCTACACTGTCATACCAAACATCATGAAAAAACATAGATGGCATCCTTATTGACTGTTTCGCAACAGGAATATAAATGGTAAAGCCTTGCCTTTTAATAGTGTTCTCATGTGACACTTTTGCCTTGTCCAAGCATCAAAGAGTCCCAAAATAAATTGCTTCAGAATATGATGTCAGGCAAAAAATATATATCTGCTAGATGTGTAAGGTTGAGACAAACCCCCACTTTTATTATGAGGGTTTGGCTGTCAGTGAGCGACCCTAATGCATACCATGTGTGAATCTGGGTCTTATTGTTTACTTTCTAGAAACAAAGTACAAGTATTCCACACATAGATACGTAGATACGTGTAATAAACCAAATATTGCTCAGCCGACGACAAGGCCACAACGACAGGCACAGCCATGTCACAATGTGTAACAGTGTGATATTACGTGTTCAATAATCGCACCTCTACCAATGTTTACCTGATTTCCACAATGTCGTCGTTCCGCTGTTGTTTGGGTGAATGCTGTATCACACGAACACCTGAGCTCTACCGTGCACCCATCATACAAGATTTCTGCATACTCTGATGTAATCCGACTTAACAGCTAAATCAGACTGACAACTTTCTTGGTGCAACTTATTCTTCTCAAGCCCGACGGAAGTGGTGCCATTTGTGCTATTTTTAGAATAATGGGTGCCAGCTCTCCCTCTCGTGCTTACAACGGAGGAGGCTGGCTGGGGGAGTGAGTGGGGAGAAGAGAGGTAGTGCTGTGCTGGTGGGAAGGGTGAGGGAGAGGTGTTGTTCGGATGAGGATAGGGGTAGAGGGGTGTAGGTGAGATGGGGGTTGGGGAGAAGTTGTGGTTTGTGTACTGATGAACTGCGAGGTAGGAGGAGTTGGCAGTATCGGTGAAGGGTACCCCGGAGTTACCAAGTGTAATCTTTTCGTTATCCTTGAACTCTAATTAGCAGTGATTGCTGCAGTACTCTTAAATCCAGCACAAAACGAAGAGTAAGATAGTTTACGCTATTACATTACGCTACAATAGGTTAGACAGCATACAAGTATACAATGTACTGTATTGAACAGTGTGTGTGTGTGTGTGTGTGTGTGTGCGTGCGTGCGCTTGCTTGCTTGCTTGCGTGCGTGCTTGTGCGTGAAAGAGATATCTCCTCACTCCAGCTGTACGACGACGGTTTATAATAAACATTAGAGAGGTACACTGACGTGGGTCGGCTGTCACCAACAGAGAGACAAAATGGAACTTACACAAACACATAACAACAGCAGAATAAAAACACAATACGTAATACAATTGAAAACCCTTCGCGCGTTAAACCCAAATTGTCTCACTCACTCATGCAGTGTGGCACGAATACCGGTCCTGAGATTTGATTGAGGTTACAAGCAGGACGCAGCAATAAGCCAGCTATATGATGTTGGTATGTAATTAATAGGCTGGATCCAGCGATCTACAGCATCGGTGTATACAAAGGGGATATGATGGTATGCATCAACCGACGTCATCTCTCTCTCATTTCTGAATGGAACATTGTTCATGACATCACCCACTGGTTTGTCTAGATTATTTTCGGGCCGCTGTCACATCTAGCTGGACTGACTGACTGAGTGAGTTTGGTTTTACGCCGCTTTTAGCAATATTCCAGCAACATCACGGTGGGGGACACCAGAAATGGGCTTCACACATTGTACCCATGTGGGGATTCGAACCCGGGTCTTCGGCGTGACAAGCCAACGCTTTAAACACTAGGCTACCCCACCGCCCACATCTAGCTGGAATATTGTTCAACAGTGTTGTAAACAACAAACAAACAAAACATAAACTGCCGTGCCGTAGTAGGTTTCACAAACATAAAAAAAGCAATTAATTTTGTTACTATAAACAAGGAGAAATATACAGTATTTTTATATTGAAGAAAATTTAAATTAATGAAAAGCTGTAGGGGCGTGAATGAGTGAATGTTGTTTCCTGCAAGTCAGTAGCCAATATCTCTGGCGGTTACAGACAAATCAGGTCTTGAAAGCTCCATGACGACGGTTGGTTGGTTGATTGTTTAACACCGCACGCAGTAGGCCTAATATTACAGCTATATGGCGGCGGTCTGTAAATAATCCAGTCTGGACCAGACAATCCAGTGATGAGCAACATGAGCATCGTTCTACGCTAATGGGATACGATGACATGGTCAACCAAGTCAGCGAGCCTGACCACCCGATCCCGTTAGTTGACGGAGCAACCGGTCAGCCAGGTCACACATTTTTAAGGAAAAAATTCAGGAACCTTTGATTTCTCTTTATTTTCATGTTTTTGTCTTTAAAGTTCAAGATACTTAGTTGAAATGTGAAGACAAGTAAATTGAAATATGAAGATACTCAGTTGAAATATCAAGGCGCTATCTCTAAATTTCAAGATTCTATGTTGACATTTAAAAATATGTAAGTTGAAATTTCAAATTAATGCAATGAACTAAGAAAACATGTACATTGTAACAAACCCAGAACAATCAAAGTTACGTTTGTTACGAACGAAGTTTCAAATACGCAGTAATTGCCAATCTAGAAGCTAGATTTAGCCCCGCCGAGAGCTCCGGCAAACGCTTTGTGCGTCTTGGTCGGCATACGGTCATTGGGTCTGGTTTCAAAATCGAGTTTACCGTAACATTCTGGTCTATTTTCCCTCGCCTCATCCCCCCAGCCGATCCCTTAACCACCTCCCCCCTAAACAGACGCACCTAGCCTATTTTACATGGCCAATCACTGGCAGTACAGTGCAGGTATAGGTATTTCTGGTCGCCGAACTCGCTTCACCTCACTCGGCATTTTGACACGGAACTCCACGAAGGGGAGCGTATCCACGCTGGTGCCGTTATTTCAAGGCAGTGACGTCACGAACAGGTTGTTGCCAAACAAAAAGGTAGCCTCACTTTCACCTGAATCACGTGAAGTTTTTCCTGTATAAAACAAATCCAAATGCGATGTCTGAAAGAAAATCTCACACGGTCTACAGGTGAATGCCAATAGTCATCCCTCCAGGTAAGCACACGTTCACACACCTGTGTTGGGCAGTTGGGCACCATTGTCTTCTCGAGAACTGGCGATGGCCACTGTCATGTGTCTGTGTTTGTAAACAGAAGGTAAATCGACATCTCTGCGTTCACAAACACGCTTTAACGAAATATTGTTTAATTACTGTCACCTTTATCACTGTTGTATGCATTAACTATTGATATATAGAATGTCAGTGTTACATACTGTCTGTCCATTGTTGAGATGATACACGTAGGCGGCATCCCAGCACGATGACGTTTCAACTCTGAACTCGCTCTGACCTACATGGTACATGTATATACACTATCACCACTGAGGGTGACAATGGCAATGACGACACAGGCGATGACATGCCAGTCACATTGTCACGTGGTCGGACACGTGTCTCCTGTCCGTTATCCTCGGATTTTATCACACCTGTCTGTTTCTTTCCTGTAACGATGCATGTGGGTTTACCTTAAATGATTGTTACCTGTGTCTTACCTGTGATAAACGTAACAATCATCATCGTCACACAGTTGGGCTTGACACTGTGTAACAAACAGAAGCAACGTGTCCCATTCGGCGACGTCATCGGTGTCGCCCGCCCGCCCCGCTCGTACGTTTACAACTGCACTAATTGTTTTATTTCATCATATCTGTTTCATAACAACTCTTCCGTTTCTTAGCTACAGAGGACAATCTCAGCCATGACGTTATTACTGCAATGTCTTAATATAGGAGCAAGATTTGTGTCTTTTATTGGTGGTAGGTCCATTTTTAGAACCTGATATTTGATGGATTGAAATATAGGCTAAACTAAGTGCGGAGTTTCTTTTAAGAACGTTTGTAAACAAAGGCACGTGGCTCAGATCCAAAGTTTATTTTTGGCTCTGTAAAGGAACCGTGCCTAGCAACACTTGCCTAGCAACGTGTCTGGCACCTCTGGCAACAGCGTCACAGGTACGGAATGCAAGAACGCAGTAGATTGTAGAAGGGCGGGGAGAAGATGCACGTCTCACGTGATGTTGTCTGTTTCAGCTCAGGCAATGCCTGCAAGCGGCACTGTCGTGACGTCATCATTCCACCACCGTCAGGTGCTCGTCGAACGACGGTCGAGTGGCATGGCAGCAGCGTCCCCACCCTCCCCTCCCACCCCTGCGCCAGGACCCTCTCCCCCCGAGCCGGTAGCACAGAAGACGGTGTTGGAGCAGTTGTTTGAACGGAAACTTGTTGAGGGAGACCTCTGGTACGTGGTGGTAGCAGAGTGGCTGGAGCATCTCAAACGATACGTGGGTCTCTCCAGCACGAGAAAGTACTACCCTAAGCGCGTTACCTCACCCCAGGGGCGATCGTCACACGGCGAGACTACGCACATACTGCCGACGTAGTACACGAAGATGCGTGGAGGATGCTGATTCAGTGGTATGGGTTGTCGGAGGGGCACAAGCCGATGAAGCTAGTGGTGTATCACTACTCGAGGGCTGCTGAAATAGAACACAATCAAAATTCCTTCAAGGTGATGCTGTCGAATTCTCCCCCGGAAGACTTCCATAACGTGAGGTTCAGCAAGATGGAGAAGGTTGGCCACGTGGAGTGGAAGATACGGGAGTTATACCACATCCCCCAGGATAAGACGACACGGATGTGGGCGAAGGCGGACGTCGACAGTGACTGGCGGTCAGTCTTCTACAGAGACAAGACCATAGGTCGAAGTCTTGACATTGACTCAGATTTCACTCGACCGATTGTTGCGCTGGAGGTGTCAGATCCAGATGGGATCTGGAACACAAACCCCGAGAACACGGAGTCTTGTCAGGACAGCCCCATCGGACCCCCTCGTCGATCACGACATCTTCGAAGACGTGACGAGCACGTGGGAGATAGACATCCACGACCAGATCGACCACATTGGAAAGTCCTTTCTGGAAAAGTTGCATTCAAGCTACAACGTTTTCGTCCAGCGCGCCAAAGACTACGTGGATGAACGTGAGAGTCGACTGAGACATCGTGAACGTGACATGAGTACGCGCGAGAGGAACATCGACCTGATGTCTATCCGTCTAGAGGACCGTGAACGACGTCTCCACACCGAACTCGTCACGTGTGAAGAGAAGATAAGAGAGTACGAGCGGCTGAGACTTGACCTTGAACGTGACTTCCGGGACCGAATGGAGGAAGCGGAAGTGGGTGTTAGAAAGAAACAAGATGAAATGGACCGAGAAAGAGAACAGATGGAGGCTGACAGAGCCAGGTTCGAATCTGAAATTAAGGTTTGTGACACTTTTTAATTAATCAAAACACTCGTATAAAGTCTTTTCTCACCAACTCGCTCATCGACGGCATACATCATTATCGATTATCCAGTGCATAATGTCCCCATTCAACAGATGAGAATAATGTCCTCTGGATAATGGAGAATGCATATGATCCATATTTACGACTCTGGTATCTGAAAATATATCCAGCGGTCACCGTTTGGTACCATATGCAGGGAAAATCTAGAATGGTCTACTTACTATATGTCCATAAGAGAAACTTTCATCACCCTTACCCAACATGTCGGAGTAGAACACTGTATGTAGATGTAGCATTCCCTTAGTGCCCCCCGCCTTACACTCACGCACACACATACTCATTACACACACTATCACACTATAAAAGCATCTGTCCTCACGAACGTTCACATCTAGGATAAGCGTTGTAAAATCAGATTTCATGCACGTGATATCAGAGACCATATAATGAGATATCTTATTAAAGTATGGTCTCTGGTTACATGTGCATTATTATCCCATAGATGTTAATTATATGCAGATTTGGTCACAGATAGTCTAATATGTCATGTACTTATCTGAATATGGTAATATTCTCAAGATCACGTGGACCGGCTGTCGCGAGATGTCAAAGTATGATTTTACTGGAACAACGTTAAAGTTGTCATTGCTGTTATTACCTTATAAAGGACCTTGTATTTAGGCATGTGCTTTCACCGAAGATAATTGGATTATCTAAAAACAGTGTTCTTAATGGTCAGTTAAACCTTAAATATAAGCTTAAGCTCAAAAGTATGTCATTTCCTATTGGTAATGTTAATTGATAATTGATAATATTTTTCATTTTGTCACGATGTCATCATCAAAAGGCATAAATGTTATCTATTAAAAACTGATCCAGCATCACCCGAGGTCTGGCCCGATACGACTTTTCTTGTGTCCTAGGCCTGATACGACCACCCCGCCACCCTTTTGCCTGGTCTGATACGACCTCCCCCGTGGTCAGATCTGATACGACCCCTACCCCCACTCCATGCCCTAGTCTGATACTCTACACCAGCGCCCCTTTTTCCTTGTGATCATGGACTGGTTGTAATTGCCTGTCGCGGGTTCAAACCCCGATTTTCCTAAAAAAACAAATCAGAAACCTACAACCATCTATTTTGAATCTGCTCGATTTTGTTTTCATATTTGTTTTAACCATGTATGTAATGTAATGGGACGGCGTTCCTTTATCGGTCAGTCAATGTTCTTTCAGAGGATGTCAGAGATGTATAAGATTCAGGACAGTCGGATCAAGCTCGACATCGGCGGCCATCTGTTCACGACGTCGTTGTTGACCTTAACGAAGGACCCCGACTCCATGTTGGCTGCCATGTTTAGCGGGAGGCACGAGCTGAAACGAGAATTGGACGGGAGTTTCTTCATAGACCGAGACGGCACCCACTTCCGGTATATACTGAATTACCTCAGAGACGGTTGTATCAAGGAAGGTATCCTTCCGCAGAACGAAAATCTGTGGCGGGAGCTACTTACCGAGGCGGAGTACTATCAGTTGAGTGGTTTGGTCGACTATCTCAGTTCTCTTCTCTACGGCAAAACTTACACAAAAGATGGCGATACGTTTGTTTGAAGCTTTACCGGGTGTTTTCACAAGGGACCTTCGATGATGATGGGTCAACGTGTGCTATGCCTACGTCACGATATCTGGAGAGACACTTCACCCAACAGCAGATTCTGGGCTCCTTGTGTTACACATGCTGGTGATACTAGTGATGCCACGAGGAGTTAACCTGTTCTGGAATACAGGTTATATTGCAGCCGAACTGTTAAGCGCCTGGAATGTACCATAGTATACTACTATTACACCATACTCCATGTCTTTAGCCATCAAACGAGTCTAAGACCCGGTTCGATTCCCCACATGGGTACAATATGTGAAGCCCATTTCTGGTGTCCCCAGCCGTGATAATGCTGAAATATTGCTAAATGCGGCGTAAAACCAAATTCACTCACGCAACTATTGCTGCTTACTGCGGGGTTTGGTTTTAATGGGGGAATATTGCTGATCGCATGAACCACTTGTTTGACATATAGTTACTTGTTTGACAACTCATTGTAATAGCTGAATATTGCTGTTTGATGCTTAAAGAAAGAACTGGACAGATCCTGTGGGTTAGTGGTCTTGGACACTGCAATTTATTGTGCAGAGTTGCGTCCCTTTCATACTCATGCGATGTTTCGGTGACGTTGGTTCAGTATGTTATAAACGCCTTCGCCATGTAGCATAAATTTAGTACAATTGAAAACAGCGTTATAACCTAACTCACTCTTGGTCAGTGTTAAAATGAAAATGACAACGAACACACAGGCTAAAGAGACTATGGAAGTATTTACATTCAAATCTTCGGATTCAACAAATCTGTTTTCGTATTTGCGCCTGCTGTTTTTACCACCTGCCAAACCCATCTCCAGGCGACGGTGAACGTCAAGGTGTGTCATATGGATACTATCGCGAACTTTTCGAGGTGAAGGTGACGTGTTTTTTTATCTGGAGTTGCATCTGATGGTGAGTGGGTGAGTTGGGTTTTACGCCACTTTCAACATTCCAGCAATATCGAGGCGGTGGACACCAGGAATTGACTCTCACATTGTGCCCATATGGGAATCGACCCCAGGACTTCTGCGTGACGAGCGCACCCTTTAAACATCTAGGCCCATATGATGGTGAAGAACAGTGTTTCTATGAACAATAACACAATGTACTAACAGTCAGGTTGTATGGAAAATAAAATTACTATGTTGATTTTTTTTATGTACATAAATAACATTGTTCTTTTTATTGTATTTTTCACAACCGAAATTTTCTTTTAGGAATGTTTAAAGGTGATGGTATCTTTTTCGAACGCTCGCTTGATAATAGAGCAACAGCTTGCTGTTTGTGAAACTGGGGGTTCCCGGCCTGGATCGGTTACCTCATCCAGTATGAGTGTCGAGCACCTGCACATTCTACAGTACGAGGCTTCTGCCCGGAGAGCGGAATGTTGGTGGTTAGATCCTCGTCATACCAGAAGAAGTACTTGTTGGTACCCTGCCTGGAGCTGGGAACTAATGGGATAAAACAAGGACTGAGTGGGGTATCCTTGTGAAACTGCAGCATGGTATCTCAGTGGGCTACACAACCGCAAACCCGCACACACACGTGCTTCACGTTACTTTGTAAGTGCAATAATCCTGAACGCGACATTAAACCCACCTACCTCACCTCACCTCAAACTAGGCGAGGACCCGTGAAGATCCGGGGTGGAATAGGTCTTCAGCAACCCATTCTTGTCAGAAAAGGCGACTATGCTTGTCGTTTTAGGCGACTAACGGGATCGGGTGGTCAGGCTCGCTGACTTGGTTGACACATGTCATCGGTTCCCAATTGCGCAGATCGATGCTCATGCTGTTGATCACTGGATTGTCTGGTTCAGACTCGTTTATTTACAGACCGCCGCCATATGCTGGAATATTGCTGAGTGCGGCGTAAAATTAAACTCACTCACTCACTCACGAACTAGGCGAGTAGAGCCGACTGTGGCCCTTTAACAACAGTCACTTGCTGGATCTACAACGCGATGCGCGGAATAAGCCTGAATCCTTGCTAATCAGCCTGTTGATACATAATCGCTTTTAAAAAGTGGTCAAATTTATCCATACCATCCGGGATTCAAACCCACATTCTCAGGGACTTGCACCTACTAGCCAGCACACAAAGCAAGCGATCTAACCAGCGGCTTCCACAAGTATTAGAAGCTGTACTATACTCGGAGAGTTTAGACTCACTTGTGTAAATGTAGCCACTTACTACGGTCAGCTGTTCTAAACTAGATTTTTCAAAATAGTCCATACTGTTTAAAGGTACTGTTTACACATGAACTGATGTATTGTAAAACAAATTCGTAACGTAGAAAAGAGTATTATCATGAGTTCAATAAATTCATTAACTCAGTGAAAAAGGGGCGAATTCTTAACAAAATTTCACAGCAAAACGCAACTGGTCACAAGCACGATATTTGCATATGCTTTTCAGCAATTTGATGCATGGTCCTCGTGCAATTCAGCTGCATAAGGTTTGCAGTTGGTTCCCCTAAGTTAGTGGAGAAATCCATCTTCGTTGTAACCACATATATACTACCCATCAAAAGTTTAGACTCACTAGTGTAAATGTAGCCACTTACTTGTCCACTGTTCTAAACTAGCTTTTTGCAAAATATTCCATACTGTTTAAAGGTACTGTTTAGTTATGAACTGGTGTATTGTAAAACATATTCGTAACATTGAAAAGATTATTGTCATGAGTTCAGTAAATGATTAAAATCTGTGAAAATTGGCGAATTCTTAACAAAACTTTACACCAAAACGCATCTGTTCACATGCACGACATTTGCTCATGCCTTTCGCAGTTTGAAGCATCATCCTTGTGCAATTCATCTGCATAAGGTTTTCAGTTGGTTCCCCCCAAGTTGGTGGAGAAATTCATCTTCGATGTAACCACATACATATACATAACATATAGTGAGTGCTTTAAGTGAGTCTAAACTTTTGATGGGTAGTATATATACATAACATATAGTGAGTGTTTTAAGTGAGTCTAAACTTTAATGGGTAGTATATGTTAAATGGCCTATCGTCGTTAGTGCGTGGTGAAACTACGGGTTTGTAAGGATTCAGGTTGGATATCAGTGATGCACATAATTGTATGTTTTGTGAAACCAGCACAAGTAGATGTCAGCCTGCGATGGAAATGACGCAACGAGGCCAGAATGCAACATCAGGAGTTTGGATGTGAGCTTTGGCTGACTGACTGAGTTTGGTTTTACGCCGCTTTTAGCAATATTCCAGCAACATCACGGCGGGGGACACCAGAAATGGGCTTCACACATTGTACCCATGTGGGGATTCGAACCCGGGTCTTCGGCGTGACAAGCCAACGCTTTAACCACTAGGCTACCCCACCGCCCCGGATGTGAGCTTGGGGATGAAAGTGGGGGGAGTGAGTGGATTGTGTCAGTCGTTCTGTTATATACATGTTCTGTATCTTTTTATCTTTTCGTTGTTCATTGTTCATTATAAATACCTATTTATATGCCCCAACCACACATTCTTGCGAGTGTTCGTTTGACGAGTCGTGTCTACGCCACATATTGTAAGAAGCGTCTTAAAATCTTCACACCTTCCCCACACCATATTCGCCAAAGCTTGTGGCTGAGTTCTGATTGGCTGCATTTTATAACTGGTTTGTTATTCAGCACCGCCCTGAACAATCGACTGACTGACATCATGAACACCCACACGACGACATGTATCAACCAGGTCAGCGAGGTGTAACCACCAAATCCGGTTAGCTGTTTGTACAGAACGGGCCACTTTTAAGCAGTGGATGATTTGTAGCATTGTAACATAGTATAGCTATGTCTGCCTGCAAGACACAGGTTTACATACAGAGGCTGTTGCAGGCTGGGACTCATGTCGAGCCCACTGAATTGCAGAAAACTGGAAAACAGACTTTTTAAATTATCGTTACTTATCCGAAATGTTGAACATTTTGAAATACAAATATACTCATGCCAATAATGGTTGTCACCCCTCCTCACCCCAACCACCCCACACCTCACACCCCCACCCCTCTCCAATTAAAAATGTTGAAGGGGGTGACAACCATTATTGGCATGAGTATAATTTTTGGTTCATGAAGACAGAATTGTCTACATTTTGAATGCTGAAACTGTGCGGAATGATTACCAATGAATATCATAGACTTCTTCTACCAGATCGATTGTAAAGGGGGTATCGATCAAGTGGCACTGATGTACCTGTTTAACAGCTGGTGATGTGATCGACAGTGTTCTCCAATAGAGCGGAAGGGGCCTTCACTGAGTCATTGGTACGCGGAGCCATCCTAGTGCTCGCCTTGCACACGTGGTACTTCATACAAAGACATTCGCCAGGTCATCGACCATGACTATAGGTGTTATTGTTCCACATCTACAAGTGAACTGACGAATGGGGGCACACATAATTCCAATAACATTATAGGCCTGCATTAATTATTATTTCCCTGTGACGCAGCTAATAATGTTGGTGTCAATGCTTTAGAATATTTTTGTATCATTTTGAACAATCAACAACAAAAACCTAGTTTACCAGGGAAATTAATAGTTGTTTGACCAAAAGATTTTAGCGGGGATTAGGTGAAACGAAAAACACGAGCATTTACCATCTGTTCGTCAGTGGATAATTCGAATAAAGTCTTCATTCTATCAAATGAAAATAAAAACAAAATTAAGCAATTTTCTTACTAAGTACTAATCTGGAGGTTTATTTTAATGAAGTTTTTCGACCACCGTTGAATTTTAGGTTAACACTTTTGCAAAATGCTCAACAGTACATAAATGGTGTGAAAGTAGGCTAAGGGCAGCTGATTACGAATTTCCAGGTAAAATAGCTACATTCTTAATTCAAGTTTTACTCTGGTCAGCAAACAGCGTTAGTGAAGTGGTATACTCTCATTGCAATACAGACAACGACATAAGATGTGCAGAGGCAATATTGTAACTGTTCTCTGTTACAAATATTTGTCGATCATGTCTATTGCTTCTCCAGCTTCTGCGGTTGAAACTATGACCCAGTGTTGGTAAGGGGGTGGTGGGGTGGTATGTGGTTAAAGCGTGGTTAACGTGTGTTCGATTCCCCACATGGATACAACAGCCTATTTCTTGTTTCCCCCTTCGTGATGATGCTGGAACATTGCTTAACTAAAAACCTGAACTCACTCACTCACTCACTCAGTGTTGGAACCATCGGGAGGAACATACAGTTGTCTTAAACTAGTGTTTCCACAGGCCTCCATAGTATCTTACACTCTACTGAACTTGACATCGGACTCAATTGTAGATATGTTAAAGGACGAGCAGGATGTATGGAAATAATGAGTGAGTGAGTGAGTTGGGTTTTACGCCGCTTGTAGCAATATTCCAGCAATATCACGGCGGGGGACACCGGAAATGGGCTTCACACGTTGTACCCGTGTGGGGAAACGAACCCGGGCCTTTGGCGTGACGAGTGAACGCTTTATCCCCTGGGCTACAGCACCGCCCCTGTATGGAAATAGCATGAGGTGAATGGCATATTTCGATGCGACAAACTGATTCTATAGGAAAAGTGTCAAGGCTTACACACATTCAGTTCTATGTGAGCAGTATTTTAGTTAAGTCATGGTCAGATGATGACTCGATGTGGTTATCACTAACACCAGACACCTTATAATAGATTATTATATGTGGTCTCTGCTAACACGGGCATGGTGCTGGCAAACAGAAAATCATAAATAGACTAATAATGGATTCAAACCCACTATGTCTATTTTGTATGTGTATGCTATTTCCGATTTAATGAAAGGAAGATACGATCTTTTAGCAGCTGGACACGCCTCTGGATATCAGAATCTAACAGGTGCGAGCTGGTGTCCGCCATTGTGATACTGCAAGCACGGTGCTGCCACACTGTAGCTGACATCTCGCAGTGCATCACGGGAAGAGATGCGGCTGAGTTATTGCTCGATCATGGCAACGTGATTAAAATTATCAATTAAACGAGAAATGGCAACATGTGTGAATACCATACACTGTAAGCCGAGCCCACAGCCAGGTTCGTCACCAGTGTGTCGTTGGTCGCCATTGTTTGACGGGATGTTATCTACGTCCATGTATACTCAACATTAGTCCGCCATCTGAACATGATATCTGATAACAACTCATTGAGACAAACTTATGACGAACTGGAACAACGAACGA